ACTTTAAGTTTGAAATAGGTTTTCAAAATGGCGGCCGTGGCGGCCATATTGGATTTCTGATCGACCCGAAAAATAACAACACTTTGTCAGGACCATGAGGCGATCATTCCTACAAACTTTCAGTTCAATCGGCCCAGCAGAACTTGACTTTAAGTTTGAAATGTAAAATGTTAACGGACGACGGACGACGACGGACGAAAACGGATACTCCTTTGCCCATGACTGAAGGTCAAAGTCCTTTATTTTAACAGTCTTCATAGGTCTCTAGCCCAGCCACATATCATAGGTCTCTAGTCCAGCCAAATATCATAGGTCTATAGCCCTGCCAAATATCATAGGTCTCTAGCCCAGTCAAATATCATAGGTCTCTAGCCCAGTCAAATATCATAGGTCTATAGCCCAGTCAAATATCATAGGTCTCTAGCCCAGCCAAATAGCATAGGTCTCGAGCCCAGTCAAATATGATAGGTCTATATATAGCCCAGCCAAATATCATAGGCCTTAAGCCAAATATCATTGGTCTCTAGCCCAGCCAAATATCATAGGTCTCTAGCCCAGCCAAATATCATAGGCCTCAAGCCAAATATCATAGGTCTCTAGCCCAGCCAAATATCATAGGCCTCAAGCCAAATATTATTGGTCTCTACCCAGCCAAATAGCATAGGTCTCTAGCCCAGCCAAATATCATAGGTATCTAGCCTAGCCAAATATCATAGGCCTTAAGCCAAATAGCATAGGTCTCTAGCCCAGCCAAATATCATAGGTCTCTAGCCCAGCCAAATATCATAGGCCTCAAGCCAAATATTATTGGTCTCTATCCAGCCAAATAGCATAGGTCTCGAGCCCAGTCAAATAGCATAGGTCTCTAGCTCAGCCAAATATTATAGGTGTCCAGCCCAGCCAAATATCATAGGCCTCAAGCCAAATATCATTGGTCTCTACCCAGACAAATAGCATAGGTCTCTAGCCCAGCCAAATATCATAGGTATCTAGCCCAGCCAAATATCATAGGCCTCAAGCCAAATATTATTGGTCTCTACCCAGCCAAATAGCATAGGTCTCGAGCCCAGTCAAATATCATAGGTCTCTAGCCCAGCCAAATACCATAGGTCTCTAGCCCAGCCAAATATTATAGGTGTCTAGCCCAGCCAAATATCATAGGCCTCAAGCCAAATATCATTGGTCTCTACCCAGCCTAATAGCATAGGTCTCTAGCCCAGCCAAATAGCATAGGTCTCTAGTCCAGTCAAATATCATAGGTCTCTAGCCCAGTCAAATATCATAGGTCTCTAACCCAGTCAAATATCATAGGTCTATAGCCCAATCAAATATCATAGGTCTATATAGCCCAGCCAAATAGCATAGGTATCTAGCCCAGCCAAATATCATAGTTTTCTAGCCCAGCCAAATATCATAGATCTATAGCCCAATCAAATATCATAGGTCTATATAGCCCAGCCAAATATCATAGGTATCTAGCCCAGCCAAATATCATAGTTTTCTAGCCCAGCCAAATATCATAGGCCTCAAGCCAAATATCATAGGTCTCTAGCCCAGCCAAATAGCAAAGGTCTCTAGTCCAGCCAAATATCATAGGTCTCTAGCCCAGCCAAATATCATAGGTATCTAGCCCAGCCAAATATCATAGTTTTCCAGCCCAGCCAAATATCATAGGCCTCAAGCCAAATATCATAGGTCTCTAGCCCAGCCAAATAGCATAGGTCTCTAGTCCAGCCAAATATCAATGGTCTCTAGCCCAGCCAAATATCATAGGTCTCTAGCCCAGTCAAATATCATGACTCTGGTCTCTATCGTTGTTGAAAAATGAGTTAACAGATGAAACAGGGCGTTCGAAGGCAGATGTTTAATGATTGCTGAAACCTCAAAAGTCTTTTAACTCGAGTGGCCAAACATTGGGTACCAATCAACAGTTCCAGGGAGAGCCAACGCCTTTTCTCTTACTTTAATTAGATACGGTTACTGCATGGTATGCAGGTCAAATGGGGAACAGGGGAAATAAAGTGTTCAAGTCAATCGCAACAAGCTCGCGACAAGTTGAATTTCATTTAATAGGAAATGTCTACCGATTGGTACCAATCGACAAGTAGATAAAGTCTAAATAACAAATTCAATATGAAAATTTTAATCTGAAAGATTTTCCTAGTATTTAGTGAAGTTTTAACAATAAACAACAACATACTGTGTGCAAAATGTCACCTTCAAGATTTGGATGGAAAAATAATATTAACGACAATTGGACCTTTGAGGTTTATACAACTAAACAGTCTTTTTGATTTCAGACAGTGGAATAGATCGACAGAATCAATGTACACACCGTGTAAGGACTATCCACTAAGCCGTGATGTATCATCGTGATAAAACACTGGCCCACCGTCCGACAGTGACGTCCACCGGCCTCTAAAAAGTACTGCTCTCGAAGCAAGGCAAACGCCACCAGTGAGTAGATGAACAGGATGGCTAAACCAAGCAGGGTCACCATCATCAACGACTTTCCTGTAACAAACAGGGTTAAAATCATGTCAATAATTTCTGAATCTATTATTATCAATTGATTGTTTATATGTATTATAATTTGTATACTATTATTTTCTGTTACATTTCAAAATAAGAATGCTGAAAAAAAGACAATGGACTGACAGAACAAGCTTTGATCAAATCAGCTTAAAATAATACATTGGCATAATCCTACATAACACATTATAATATTACAAATGTATGTAGGATATTTGTTTGCATTTTACATCCTATTTACAGCTTTGGTCATTTAAGGTCCTGCCAGGGTTTGGTGGTGGAGGAGAGTTCCTGGAGAAAAAGGACAGACCTGAAGCCATATCTGGGGTCTGCCCGACGTAGGCCTCGAACCCGCGACCCAGCAGTGAAGGGCTAGTGATCCAGACAGTCAGGTGCCTTAACCACTCGAACCCGCGACCTAGCAGTGAAGGGCTAGTGATCCAGACAGTCAGGTGCCTTAACTACTCGAACCCGCGACCCAGCAGTGAAGGGCTAGTGATCCAGACAGTCAGGTGCCTTAACCACTCGGACACCGCGACCCAGCAGTGAAGGGCTAGTGATACAGACAGTCAGGTGCCTTAACCACTCGGACACCGCGACCCCAGTGTATGTAGGAACTAGCTCAGTTATTGTTTCAGATACATTACTTTAACTTGTTGGATATGTTTAATCTTTTAACTTGTTGGATATGTTTAATCTTTCAACTTGTTGGATATGTTTAATCTTTTAACCTGTTGGATATGTTTAATCTTTTAAGTGGTCAAAAGTAATGAACATTACCATTTGTTGTCACAGCCAGAATGACCCGCTTGAGGAGTTGGTTGAGCTCCGCGATATGGAGAAGGTGGAACGCAAAAAAGTAACCATGGAACACGGTCCCAAGTATGGACATTGCCAGGACACACTGAAATATACAACCAGCTGACAATCAATCCTGTGACATGTTATCCTCTTTTACTGGTAATCTGTTATAATTGATCATTCCTTCACTAAAATTCAACTTGAAGTCTACAAGGCAATATTCTGGTATAAGATTACAGAATAATACAGCGCCAGAAAAATGGATTTGTTTATTACAATGAGTTGACAAATATCCATTTCGATTACTGGAAACATTAAAAGGTCATACATTATTTCATATACCTGCTAGAAAATGACTTGCACTGTGGATTAGCGTATGTAAATTTCTGTTGTATATGAAATAATCATGATACAGATTTTTCATCCCTTTGTTTGTTTATTTGTTTAATTGGTAACTACAAACGTAAACGTGACACTTTCTATATTTATTAACAGCTAACATAACTGTTAAGAAGAATATTTGATGTACAATATACGTATACCTTACCCAGTGTTTAATGATACATTACATTTTTGTTCCATGTAAGTAACTATCCATAGTACTTTTGTATTATTCTGTCTTCAATAATATGAAATATATATCGCATTCTTCATTTGGAGGAAATAAATATAAATATAATAATACGCACCAGATAATAGAGAGACTTGAAGCTGTAGATTTTGACCTCTAAATGTGAGTCGGTCTTTTTCTCATGCCATGACTTAAACTCCATATCATCATCCTTGTTCTTCCCCCTGATCAGTAACAAAGCACAAAACGTCAGACAGGGTGGCTCAACTGAATACTCAGTAGTTATGTTTAAAGTTCAAAAACAGTTTAGAACTAAGAACAATTTTTAATAGTTTTCTCAATGTAAGCCTTCCTTTCTTTGCTTTGAGCATTTTTTTTTTAGCTTTCACAGAAATAACAGAAGCTGCATTTGTTGGAACACGAGAATAAGTTTCTTTCAGAAGTTTGAATCGACGGGACGTATAAATAACTTACACAAGGCGAAGGAACAGATTCCAGGGTGGAAACGTTGGACTGTTGGAGATGAGAAACGTGACATATATAAGGAAACACAGGAAGTTGTGTATCCCTCCTACTATATAGAGGAATATGTAGTAATTGTCTATACTCAGCTCAGGAACAGACCTGTCAAACATGAAAAATAAAAAAAATCATTTAAATGTTCAATACAACCATCTTATCATTCCATTTTATCATTAACATCACTAAATTTTCTTGACACTTGGCAAACACTTGAAATGTGTGGAAGATATACGATTTGTTACATCTTATTTTAGCTGATTCTCTGTCAAAAGATAGCACGCAATCTGTATTTTGTATACCAATGACTTACTACTTTGTGATATGTACCACTACCCCTCACTTACGACTGTATATCGGAGGCCAATACCCCTTACTTACTACTTTGTGATATGTACCCCTACCCCTCACTAACGACTGTTTATCAGAGGCCAATATCCCTTACTTACTACTACTTTGTGATATGTACCACTACACCTCACTTACGAATGTTTATCAGAGGCCAATACCCCTTGCTTACTACTACTTTGTGATATGTACCACTACCCCTCACTAACGACTGTTTATCGGAGGCCAATATCCCTTACTTACTACTACTTTGTGATATGTGCCACTACCCCTCACTTACGAATGTTTATCAGAGGCCAATACCCCTTGCTTACTACTACTTTGTGATATGTACCACTACCCCTCACTTATGACTGTTTATCGGAGGTCAATACCCCTTACTTACTACTTTGTGATATGTACCCCTACCCCTCACTTATGACTGTATATCGGAGGTCAATACCCCTTACTTACTACTTTGTGATATGTACCCCTACCCCTCACTTATGACTGTATATCGGAGGTCAATACCCCTTACTTACTACTTTGTGATATGTACCACTACCCCTCACTAACGACTATTTATCAGAGGCCAATATCCCTTACTTACTACTACTTTGTGATATGTGCCACTACCCCTCACTTACGAATGTTTATCAGAGGCCAATACCCCTTGCTTACTACTACTTTGTGATATGTACCACTACCCCTCACTAACGACTGTTTATCGGAGGCCAATATCCCTTACTTACTACTACTTTGTGATATGTACCACTACCCCTCACTTACGAATGTTTATCAGAGGCCAATACCCCTTACTTACTACTACTTTGTGATATGTTCCACTACCCCTCACTTACGAATGTTTATCAGAGGCCAATACCCCTTGCTTACTACTACTTTGTGATATGTACCACTACACCTCACTTACGAATGTTTATCAGAGGCCAATACCCCTTGCTTACTACTACTTTGTGATATGTACCACTACACCTCACTTACGAATGTTTATCAGAGGCCAATACCCCTTACTTACTACTACTTTGTGATATGGACCACTACCCCTCACTTACGGCTGTTTATTAGGGGCTAATACCCCTTACTTGCTACTACTTTGTGATATGTACAACTACCCCTCACTAACGACTGTTTATCGGAGGCCAATCCCCCTTACTTACTACTTTGTGATATGTACCACTACCCCTAACTAACGACTGTTTATCGGAGGCCAATACCACTTACTTACTACTACTTTGTGATATGTACCACTTCCCCTCACTAACGACTGTTTATCGGAGGCCAATCCCCCTTACTTACTACTTTGTGATATGTACCCACTACCCCTCACTAACTACTATATATCGGAGGCCCATACCCCTTACTTACTACTACTTTGTGCTATGTACCACTACCCCTCACTAACGACTGTATATCAGAGGCCAATACCCCTTACTTACTACTTTGTGATATGTACCCACTACCCCTCACTAACGACTCTATATCGGATGCCCATACCCCTTACTTACTACTACTTTGTGAGATGTACCACTACCCCTCACTAACGACTGTTTATCAGAGGCCAATCCCCCTTACTTACTACTTTGTGATATGTACCCACTACCCCTCACTAACTACTATATATCGGAGGCCCATACCCCTTACTTACTACTACTTTGTGCTATGTACCACTACCCCTCACTAACGACTGTTTATCGGAGGCCAATACCCCTTTCTTCCTACTACTTTGTGATATGTACCACTTCCCCTCACTAACGACTGTTTATCGGAGGCCAATTCCCCTTACTTACTACTTTGTGATATGTACCCACTACCCCTCACTAACAACTATATATCGGAGGCCCATACCCCTTACTTACTACTACTTTGTGACATGTACCACTACCCCTCACTTATGACTGTATATCGGAGGCCAATCCCCCTTACTTACTACTTTGTGATATGTACCACTACCCCTAACTAACGACTGTTTATCGGAGGCCAATACCCCTTACTTTCTACTTTGTGATATGTACCCACTACCCCTCACTAACGACTGTATATCGGAGGCCAATACCACTTACTTACTACTACTTTGTGATATGTACCCACTACCCCTCACTAACAACTATATATCGGAGGCCCATACCCCTTACTTACTACTACTTTGTGATATGTTCCACTACCCCTCACTTACGAATGTTTATCAGAGGCCAATACCCCTTACTTACTACTACTTTGTGACATGTACCACTACCCCTCACTTATGACTGTATATCGGAGGCCAATCCCCCTTACTTACTACTTTGTGATATGTACCACTACCCCTCACTAACGACTGTTTATCGGAGGCCAATACCCCTTACTTACTACTTTGTGATATGTACCCACTACCCCTCACTAACGACTATATATCGGAGGCCCATACCCCTTACTTACTACTACTTTGTGATATGTATCACTTCCCCTCACTAACGACTGTATATCGGAGGCCCATACCCCTTTCTTACTACTACTTTGTGATATGTACCACTACCCCTCACTAACGACTGTATATTGTAGGCCAATACCCCTTACTTACAACTACTTCGTGATATGTATCACTACCCCTCACTAACGACTGTATATCGGAGGCCCATACCCCTTTCTTACTACTACTTTGTGATATGTAACACTTCCCCTCACTAACGACTGTATATCAGAGGCCAATACCCCTTACTTACTACTACTTTGTGATATGTACCACTACCCCTCACTTACGGCTGTTTATTAGGGGCTAATACCCCTTACTTACTACTACTTTGTGATATGTACCACTACCTCTCACTAACGACTGTATATCGGAGGCCAATACCCCTTACTTACTACCCTGTGATATGTACCCACTACCCCTCACTTACGACTGTATATCGTAGGCCAATACCCATGACCAGTGACTTTGTGTGATGGAGTACCACGTACCCCTTAAACAAGAGGCCCAGTGGGCCTGTATCGCTCACCTGGAAATGTTAGCAAAATTGAAGTTAGAATAGTATGATGTCACTGGAGGTGTACATGTATTACATGGTTAGTCAGGGGTAATATTTATATCCAATTGGACAAAATCTTGTCATTCCTAAAATAAAAGGAGGATTTCGAAGAATTTGCTGTTTCCTCTATTGGGCCCCGCCCCTCTGTCCCCAGGGGGGTCAGACCCATCGTTGATACAAAATTAGGTCCCCTTCACCCAAGGATGCTTTAGACCAAATCCTGTCATTCCTACAGAAGGATTTAAAAGCTATTTTTTACTCTTTGGCCCTGCCTCTCTGCCAAAAGGGGGGTCAGACCCACCGTTCATCCCAAATTTAATCAAAATCCTGTCATTCCTACAGAAGAAGAAGGATTTTGAAGAACTTGCTATGTTTCCCCTATTGGGCTACACTCTTAAGCTTCCTTTATACAAAATTGAGTCCCTTTTTGCCCAAGTATGCTCCAGACCAAATCGGGGTGAAATGCCTTAATCCGATAGAAGAAGGATTTTAAAGGTTTTATCTCTATTTCCCCTATTGAGCCCCGCCCCTCTGCCCCGAGGAGGTCCACAACCACCATTTATACAAAATTGAGTCCCCTTGGCCCCAGGATGCTCCAGACTAAATACGGATAAAATCCCTTACCGGTAATCCCTATGGTAGTAGAAGGATTTTGAAGGTTTTTCCCCATATCTCACCTATTCGGCCCCGCCCCTCTGCCCCCAGGGGGGCCACATCCACCGTTTATACAAAATTGAGTCCCCTTGCCCTAAGGATGCTCCAGACCAAATTTAGTCAAAATCTACATGGCCGTTCAGGACAAGTAGTGTTTTAAAGGAAATGTTGACGACAGACGGACGGCAGATGCTGCGGTATGGTATAAGCTCACCATGTTTGTTCAAACCAGGTGAGCTAATTACAACTGTATATCAAAGGCCAATACTCATGACTTGTGACATTTTGATAAGAACCACTACCCCATACTTACAATTGTGTATCTGAGTATGATTAGAACAACTACCCCATACTTACAATTGTGTATCGGAGTATGATTAGAACCACTATCCCATACTTACGATTGTGTATCGGAGTATGATTAGAACCACTACCCCATACTTACGATTGTGTATCGGAGTATGATTACAACCACTACCCCGTACTTACGATTGTGTATCGGAGTATGATTAAAACCACTGCCCCATACTTACAATTGTGTATCAGAGTATGATTAGAACCACTACCCATACTTACGATTGTGTATCGGAGTATGATTAGAACCACTACCCATACTTACGATTGTGTATCGGAGTATGATTAGAACCACTACCCCTTACTTACGATTGTGTATCGGAGTATGATTAGAACCACTACCCCGTACTTACGATTGTGTATTGGAGTATGATTAGAACCACTACCCCGTACTTACGATTGTGTATTGGAGTATGGTTAGAACCACTACCCCGTACTAACGATTGTGTATCGGAGTATGATTAGAACCACTACCCCGTACTTACGATTGTGTATCGGAGTGTGATTAGAACCACTACCCCATACTTTCGTAGGGGGATCGGAGTATGATTAGAACCACTACCCCATACTTACGATTGTGTATCGGAGTATGATTAGAACCACTATCATATACTTACAATTGTGTATTGGAGTATGATTAGAACCACTACCCCATACTTACGATTGTGTATCGGAGTATGATTACAACCACTACCCCATACTTACGATTGTGTATCGGAGTCCCCTGCTACTGTTTTTGGATCCCTCCACACCACCAAGATAACAACGCAGATAATAAAACTAAGGAACAGTACAATGTAATTCATCGGCAGCCTGAAATATAGAAAACAGCATCATCAGTCCACATTCTCTATTCAGGATTGTATTTCCCAATACAATGCTATTTTTAAGATTTCCCTTAATGTTTGATTTAATCTCTGATTTCCTGACCTTTATGGTACTGGTATTCATTCTTGTGACAATTCCAGAATTTAAAGAAATATATGTGAAATTGAGATGTAAACATATACTGTAAATATACAAATTTTCAAAGGTTTTCTAATTAAGCACTTTTCCCCACTTTGAACGTTGCTCTAAATGACATACATTCACTCAATATAAATGTTGTCCGGGGCCGGTACGATACTGTAACTAACCAGCTGTCCGGGGCTGGTATGATACTGTAACTAACCAGCTGTCCGGGGCTGGTATGATACTGTAACTAACCAGCTGTCCGGGGCTGGTACGATACTGTAACTAACCAGCTGTCCGGGGCCGGTACAATACTGTAACTAATCAGCTGTCCTGGGCCGGTACGATACTGTAACTAACCAGCTGTCCGGGGCTGGTATGATACTGTTACTAACCAGCTGTTCGGGGCTGGTGTGATACTGTAACTAACCAGCTGTCCGGGGCCGGTACAATACTGTAACTAATCAGATGTCCTGGGCCGGTACGATACTGTAACTAACCAGCTTTCCGGGGCTGGTGTGATACTGTTACTAACCAGCTGTCCGGGGCTTGTATGATACTGTAACTAACCAGCTGCCCTGGGCTGGTATGATACTGTAACTAACCAGCTGACCGGGGCTGGTATGATACTGTAACTAACCAGATGTCTGGGGCTGGTACGATAATTTAACTAAACCGCTGCCCGGGGCTGGTGTGATACTGTAACTAACCAGCTGTCCGGGGCTCGTATGATACTGTAACTAACCAGCTGTCCGGGGCTAGTATGATACTGTAACTAACCAGCTGTCCGGGGCCGATACAATACTGTAACTAATCAGCTGTCCTGGGCCGGTACGATACTGTAACTAACCAGCTGCCCGGGGCTGGTATGATACTGTAACTAACCAGCTGTCCGGGGCTGGTACGATATTGTAACTAACCAGCTGCCCGGGGCTGGTCTGATACTTTACCTAACCAGCTGTCTGGGGCTGGTATGATACTGTTACTAACCAGCTGTCCGGGGCTTGTATGATACTGTAACTAATCAGCTGCCCTGGGCTGGTATGATACTGTAACTAACCAGCTGTCCGGGGCTGGTATGATACTGTTACTAACCAGCTGTTCGGGGCTGGTGTGATACTGTAACTAACCAGCTGTCCGGGGCCGGTACGATACTGTAACTAACCAGCTGTCCGGGGCTGGTATGATACTGTAACTAACCAGCTGTCCGGGGCCAGTACGATACTGTAACTAACCAGCTGTCCAGGGCTGGTATGATACCGTAACTAACCAGCTGTCCGGGGCCGGTACGATACTGTAACTAACCAGCTGACCGGGGCTGGTATGATACTGTTACTAACCAGCTGTCCGGGGCTGGTACGATACTGTAACTAACCAGCTGCCCGGGGCTGGTATGATACTGTTACTAACCAGCTGTCCGGGGCCTGTACGATACTGTAACTAACCAGCTGCCCGGGGCTGGTATGATACTGTAACCAACCAGCTGTCCGGGGCTGGTATGATACTGTTACTAACCAGCTGTCTGTGGCTTGTATGATACTGTAACTAACCAGCTGTCCGGGGCTAGTATGATACTGTAACTAACCAGCTGTCCGGGGCTGGTGTGATACTGTAACTAACCAGCTGCCCGGAGCCGGTACGATACTGTTACTGACCAGCTGCATGAGGATGGTATGATACTGTTACTAACCAGCTGTCTGTGGCTTGTATGATACTGTAACTAACCAGCTGCCCGGGGCCGGTACGATACTGTTACTGACCAGCTGTATGAGGATGGTATGATACTGTTACTAACCAGCTGTCCAGAGCTGGTATGATACTGTAACTAACCAGCTGTCCGGAGCTGGTACGATACTGTTACTAACCAGCTGTCCAGGGCTGGTACGATACTGTTACTAACCAGCTGTCCAGGGTGTGTATGATACTGTTACTTACCAGCTGCCCGGAGCTGGTATGATACTGTTACTAACCATAGGTTGACTAGGAGCCTGCCCAAACTGTTGGAGTACACCTTCCTCTGGTACTTGATATCCTGGATAACGTCACTAGCCCAGTCCATGAAGTCACGCAGCTTGTTGCTAGGGGAGGTACGGTCCACCTCGTACTTAAACTTCTCCTTGATCTCATTACGTAGCACTTTCTGTGGAACAAAAAAATATAAATAGATTTCTTACTTGATAATCATGTTCCGATTGATTTACTCGACATATCACTTTTTACAGAGAGCGCTTCAAGTGTTTATTCAAGCAATTATATATCATGCAAGTCTTTCTGGTAGTGTGTACAGTTATTTTTGTATATATCTGGCAATAAGAACATGCCTGGTAATAAGTTCAACAATGTTTATTGCTGTTTAGAAGAAATGATATCAAATGCTTCATTGCCCTGTAATTAGCCCAACCCATACTTGTGTCACAGATTTTCTGTTGGCACACATAATTTTTGCAGGATATATGCAATCAAAATTTTCACATGTAGGAATCTATGTTTCTTGCTGACAAAAGTATGACCCTAATGCTGTGAGTGACCTTGACCTACTGACCTTGTCCTTGACCCTGTAGTAGATCTTCTGTAGCACATCATCCTTTAGAATTTCTATGGAGAGTGTGTTCTCACTGAAGAATGTCCACGCAGCTTCTTGTTCTAGTGTTCGTATAAACGCTGAAATAGACAGGAGAAAGATTGTAAAATTCCAATAAGAAAATAAAAGTTATTTATAAGTGATATGTACAAAACACAAAAAAGAAAAAAAAAATACAAATACTACTTTAGACCAAGAAATTGGCAATTTTTGCTTAAAAACCTGTCAAAAATGATCAAATTTATCTATTTGTCAAGTCATTTTAATCCCTGGTTTTGCCTATGAAATATTACACTTTTGTGAAACAAAGTTGACAAGGGTGGAAATCACACAGGGGACTGCAATGTTACAATTAAAATGTATTTTGATTGTGTTACATTAGTCAATTACTCTTAAACACTGATAATTACAGGTTGTGTCCAACTTTTCATCCAAATCCAACTTGCGACAGAGTATGTGAAAGTAGGCAAACCCTGTGTCAGTAACCAGCGTCCTAATCTCTTCAAAATCAGGGTTGTTCCTCTGTAAAACAAACATAACAAATATGTTATGTAAAGGTCATTTATCTGTTATAATCAACATGGAAGGTCAAGGTCTTTTAACTGTTATAATCAACATGTAAGGTCAAGGTCATTTATCTGTTATAATCAACATGTAAGGTCAAGGTCATTTATCTGTTATAATCAACATGTAAGATCAAGAGCATTTATCTGTTATAATCAATATGTAAGGTCAAGGTTATTTATCTGTTATAATCAACATGTAAGGTCAAGCTCATTTATCTGTTATAATCAACATGTAAGGTCAAGGTTATTTATCTGTTATAAACAAAATGTAAGGTCAAGGTCATTTATCTGTCATAATCAACATGTAAGGTCAAGGTCATTTATCTGTTATAATCAACATGTAAGGTCAAGGTTGTTTATCTGTTATGACAATCATACACACTTGTTATGTCAAGGTCATTTACCTGTTATAACAAACATGTACAATTGTTAGGTCATGGTTATTAAAACATATAAGATCATGGTCATTCATATGTTAAAACAATCATGTAAGGTCAATGTCATTTATCTATAAACCTTCTGACCCATACTGGCAGATGGCTGTCCTGTTTATAGTAACAGTTTTATAATATCTATTTATCTTGATTTAAATGTCATCATTCTTTAGATGCCATAATGATTTTTTTAGTATCATTTCATGTCAAAAACAAGTAGCGATCAATATTCTGCAATGAGTACATATGTCCATGAGCTACAACAATGGACAACTAAATGTCTAATGCCGATACATATAGCACACTCGAGGCCATTTTTCTGTAACATATATAGTCAGTATACTTTAACCCCCTTGATTGCCATCTTAAAGATGTCACTACTGTTATAACACAAAAATATACTCTATAAAACTGCAGACATAACTATATGGCCATAACAACCCAGCCTTTTTCATTTCTCTGCAAAAGCACATAAATGGTCAAAAGATTGATTTTCAGCTAAATGGCAAAGTTAAAATGTTCTACATGAAACAACGTAAGCTTACATGTTATTGGTGGAAATGAAAGGTGATGATTGGACTGGAATAAGTACTTGGAAATAATGATGCATTATCGTTACAGGTACAGTGTATTCAGTCACATTATACACTCATTGGCCAGTGTGTAGATTCTGGTGACCAAACAGCTATGGACCATTGCCTCTTTTAAGTTTATTTGATACCTAATACTGTGTCCCAACTTTAAACAGATTTGTTATGAATGATATAACATCAGATTGGCCAGTTTTAAACATTAATCTGAATTTACACAAGACTCAGTTGTATGTCTTTCAGGTAATGGTTGTCATTAATTTTAAGTATTTAACTGTAAAATGTCTGCTACATTTTTTATCATATACCTAGTACACTGAAAACTTCAGTGAATGAAAGTTTGAACTTTGTACGGTACAAATAGTCCAGGGTACCTAATGGCTGTCAGTCAGAATAGTCCAGCGTACCTAATGGCTGTCAGTCAGAATCAAAACACAATAAGATAGAGTATCCCCAGCACATCCTTCGAATATTTGGTAGAAAGATAGAATATTCATATTCTACATACATTTCTTGTTTTTAATAAACATCTACATACATTTCTTGTTTTTAATAAACACAATAACAAGTCGAATAAAGATACGTTCTAACATTTTTCTGGGAGAGAAACCTGTTGGAAAAAAGTTTCAGAAAAATTATTATCAAATAAAATGTGTTTTACATGAAGATATAAATGTATACCTAAATGGAAAAAAATAGTTATAGACACAAACATTGGGTTAGTAATGAGGTGGTCATCTTTTTCACACAATTATATCTAGTGGTCCCTTTCTACAACATGATATATTGGCGGTCACTATTCACACTACAGTACTATAAAACAAATAGAACTGGAGGGAAGTCTCCGTATAGAACTGACACCGAATGGACAACAGATGCTGTGCCATTGTATAAACCCACAGGCACATTGTACCAGGTGAGATAAAAACAGCTGTCAATCCCAAATCAAACGGCATGCTTTTTCATGTACATGCAGTACCAAAATTTAATATGACTCCTTTCAAAATAAACCTCATGCTCCAATCCCGTTGTAGGTATATAAAGTTACATGCAGAGTAAATGTTATTTCGCTGGCATGCTTCAATAGTTATATAGATGTTACCTTAAATATGTTTACAATGGGGGGTGGAATATTTATCTAAAGCATATATCTCATCCATATCCATTCTCAAGCAAAATATTCGTTTATAACAAACGATTTCACTATGAAGTACATGTACATAGAAACATTCCGTATTTTACAACAGACATCACATATTGCCATTCCTTTGATCTGCCCACATATATACATTGTCATACAGATTCTGACTACAGCAAACTGCACTACTTGTAACAGGTTTCCATGCAGAAACACACAGCCTTACCATTTCTGTTAACTCCGGAGTATCATACTATATATACATAGCAAACCTGATACATGTATGTCAAAACTGGACTCAACACGGAATCAATCTATTTTCCAGGTGTTATATATTGGTTTATTAAAATAGATGGAGATATTATAAGATTAATTTGAATGGAAATTACTTTAAATCTTCAAGGTATTAAAAGACAAAAATGGTAAAAAAGAACAAAAACAAAACAAGATGTTGTTAAGATATGTATTCTGTGCCATAATGTAGGATCAACTTCATGTTATTTGTCAATTTTAAATATTATCAAATAGGAAGTCTCTAAAATTATGACTGATAATCTTCTATAAATAGTAAGTCACCTAGCTTGGCCTTGACCTTTGGATTATGAAATATAGTTTTCTCATACTTGACGTTTTCATGTTTGATCAAAATCCATTAAGAAATGAAGTCTCTAGAGCAATGAGACTGAATCAGATTGTAATGGGCAACATTATAGGCAACATCCCTCCCCCCTTTCATATTACATGGTGGTGGTGGGGGGACTACATGATGGTCTGCGCCGAAGTATGATTTCGAACAAAACCCTGATAGTCAGATTTATTCCCTTCTAATGTCTTTTCAATCAAACAAATTATCATAGAATATTGCTGTCCTTGATCCTGTTTCAGGTCAACATAAGCAAACGTGCAATTACAGGTCCATAAAATATAAACAGACAAGCATGTCACCTGGTTAAATGACAGATAATCTACATAAAACGACTCGTCAATTTCCTCAGTAAACCAATGTTTATCAATGATAGTTCCATTTATATTTAGGAGCACACTTGTTTAGATAGGAGAGCTTAATCAGTTTAGGTGGGAGATCTGTCAGTTGGTTAGGTGGGAGATCTGTCAGCTGGTTAGGTGGGAGATCTGTCAGCTGGTTAGGTGGGAGATCTGTCGGCTGGTTAGGTGGGAGATCTGTCAGCTGGTTAGGTGGGAGATCTGTCGGCTGGTTAGGTGGGAGATCTGTCAGCTGATTAGGTGGGAGATCTGTCAGCTGGTTTAACACTTATGACAGACTAAAGGTAAAACAAGCCGAACCTCCGGCTGTCAATTACAATCAATATTGTTAATGATGTACCCTCAGGTCGGGTTGTTAATATCTCAACTGTACAAAGCAGGGCTAAATCTGATATGTGGAGGAATATACCTGGTCATCTTCATGATAAAAATCAACTATAATAAATTAAGCCTCAGTATAAGATTTGAACAATTTCTCAAGGTTCCGATCCGAGGAAATTATTGATTTTCGAAATAGTAATGACAGTTCACATCTCCCATTAAAAATACAGAAAAGAGAGATCCAACACTCCTTACAGAAAATGTGGTAGTGTTCTCGGGGGTTGAGAACCCTTTTATTCCCCTTTGTCTATTACACCTAGTTCCTTTTAAAAGTACACTTTTCAATAGCATTAAAAAAAACCATATCAACATTGTTGTCACTTATAAAGTTTGACCATGCTTTGTTCAGTAATGAAGGTGGTTAAATATGAATGTGGTGTATATGTTTTGTTCTGTGTAGGTTAGTATGCAAAACCTTTACCTCTTTATTCGTGGCCAGATTTGCTTTCTGCACAATAGAGAAACACAAACAAACAGAATGAACACTGGAAGAAACTGTCCCGAAATGTACTTTGATTCGATTGAGGTCATTTTTTAAGGGTAGAAAGTCCCAATGATCTATATATGCTGTATCTCCAAAGAAGGAGAGTTCCAATTCTTGTGACATTTCTCTGACTTGAGCTAATTAAATGCCCATTTACAACAGGGAAGTATATGCCAAATTATGTATCCTAATTTCCTTACTTAAAACACGACATTTCCACCACAGGGAGTGTGTCCACAGTGCTACTGTTTAACATATTTATCTCGCTAACAACATTCTGCAACTTAAATGTGAATACTTAACATACAAACATCAATGTTTTATTGCACTTAAAACACATGTGCATAACCCAAAATTGTCACTGTATGAATATACAGGAAATAACCTAAATTAAATGGGAAAATAAATCATTGCCTGTATACAGTAGCAAAGTGGTGGGGCTCTCTACTTAAATCTCATGCTTTTTGCTCTGTTTTTAGACGACTACAGGTGAGAATTTACATTACAAAGTGCTGTAGGTTATAACAGACAGGCTTACTGGCTCATCAATACGTAGGTTATAACAGACAGGCTTACTGGCTCATCAATACGTAGGTTATAACAGACAGGCTTACTGGCTCATCAATACGTAACTATTTACACATGATACTTAAATTATTTTAAAATTACACCACAACATCACTTTTGAATTTTCATAAAAAAAAATGTACGTAACAGAAACCCCTTGTTAACTGTACATGTTGTCAGGCGGTGACCACCACAATGGAGGTGACAGTGAATGGTGGTAGCTTTTGATTAGTGCTGACAGTAAACATGTATGATGTGCAATAATTAGCAAGCACATGTATTTCTAATCAGTAGTCAATGTGATGGGTAGGACAAGTATATAGATTTAAACTATATCTTAATTCTATATCACATTGTGTTTCTGAATAGCAACATGTGAAGTAATGACTAGACGTGAATATAATCTACATTCCTCTCTCATACGTTTTGGTCCCTCATACCTCTATACTTTCTGAACCTAGCCTTTCATATACTCTACTACGATTCTCCGTACCCATACTTGTTTTGTCAAGCCTCCTTCACTAACCCCCTGCCCTTCTTATCTACTACTTGCTCTGCTAATTCCCTTCCATAAGATCCACCTCTCTATACATGAATCTATCAATTTGCCCTAAATATATGAATTTATCATTTGACTTATACTTATTCAGCCCCTCCCCTCCATCAATGAATGTATAGCCAGGGTGTATTTTGCCTGTCCCTATTCAGCCCTACCCCTCCATCAATGAATTTATAACCAGGGAGTATTTTGCCTGTCCCTTAAGTTCCACCCTTCCATATATGTATTTAGTATTTTTAAGAATTAAGTATTTTCCCCATCCTATTTCATATGCTCCACCCATTCATTTATGAGTTTATGATTTTTCTAGCCCCTTTTCATAAGCTCCAACCCTCTACGTCACTATATGCTCACTATCCCAGCCCTAGATCTACTGGTAGCTAGCTCCACTTTGCCCTACAGTGTATTCACTATTGAATCTGCCATACCTGTATCTGTAGGTAGGACTCAGTCATGGTGTTGACCAGCGTGTCAGTGTCCAGGTACTCCATCACTTCCTGTTACCAACAATTAAACATCAATTAGTGACAATTACACATCAATTAGTGACAATTACACATCAATTAGTGACAACTATGCAAACAAAACGAACATTCTGAAATTCTATACATCAACAAATTACAGCTAAAAAGCACATGTTTTAGAAGATAAAGTTTGTTGTGACCTAATAAGTTGATGAGAAAATTACAAATTTATTTCAAACAGCATATCAACTTTAAAACTGTCGTACAATATACCCAAAAAGATAGGATATTCCACACAGAAACTAAACAGTAATTTGAGTTGTTGAACTATAAAAGTTTATATAGGAAATGTGTATATGAGATTCAAATTGAAAATATATTTTAAATATAAGAAAATACAAAAGGGATTCTATTAATCATATTAAGTGCAAGCATTATTGAAAATAATACAATTGTATTTTGTGATTTCAACACATTTAATCTGACAAATGTAAGCTGTAAAGAAAATGGTAAGTAATTGTTTTGAAGACAGACACACATCTGAGAACATGCAAATGAGTTGGACATAAAGCAAGGAGAAAGCCACACTTGGTGTTTCCTTTAGCTGTGCAGTCTGTACAAGTATATCGGGTATTAATGCTAAAAAAACACCAAAAAAAGACCTTGTTAGTTTCTGACTGTTAGCTAGGGCAATAACATTTCAACCTTGAATTAAGTTTCTGATACTGGTAAATCTTCAAATAAGTGAAATTCAAATTTCAATCATTACTATCTTTAAAATCAATTACATAACACATAGTTAAATATTTCTGATTATTTTTACATTTACCAATTAACAAACCTTATGTTTATATTTTTTTTTCTCTCTCACTTTTTTGTTTTTACAAACCATTGTCAGATATTTAGATCTTTAGATAACAAATAGTTAAATATTTTGTTAAGAATTGTTTTTACATTTACCCATTAACATACCTTATGTTTATCTATATATTTTCTCTGGGGTTTTTTCCCCTTTATTTTTCTCTTACAAATCTTTGTCAAAAGATATAACAATTAGTGTCAGTTTTGAGTCACACCAGTTAGATTTGTGTAGGGTCTTTTCACCAAACTGTGATAAAACTTCACCAAAAAAAATGAGGTGAAACAAAATTAGACATGTACCTGTTTTGTTCTGGTATTGATAGATGCGAATTTATATGATACACCCTAAAACACAAATTGTGGGACGATTACTTTATCTTTTCCAGACTAAGTCCCAGTACTCACACTAAGATGAGGACTGATATATATTTATAAAACAAGACAGTGTGTTAACATCACAACTACAAGAGAAACAGGTAACTTACAATGTATCTAAAATTAATACACACATGCATACACGGATACAGTACAACCCTGTTACAGGAACGTTTCTCGTCTGAAATTTTCCATAGGAAAGCACTACTGAAGTTAAGAATAGTTTTCTAAGCTAAAAGGTTCAGAGTCCCACCATTTTTTTTTTTTTATACAGGTTTAGAAAAAATATTTTACCGTTAAATGATTCTATTTTCTCTATTCACAAAGACGGTTAAAATTTGTTGGCCATTTTTGAGAGTTAGAACATTTTGAAATTATTTTCAGTAATGTTACAGAGAAAGTACTTTAACATTAATATAAGAACTGATGGCAAAGTGGATAAGCTCCAGGCTTTACAACCATTAGGTCCATGGGTCAAATCCCTGTAAACCAGGCTCATTGTGAAAAATGATGTCATTGTTATACATGTATTTCTGTCAGATGACACCTTGTTATTGTATATAGGCAAAAAACTCAGAAACAAGTCTGAAAAATTTGAATCAAGATTATAATTCTTCATTAGAGAAACAAGACAGAGCACTGCCAGGAACTCCCTACCTTAAAGTTTTCCTCAAATTCAATAATGCTTTCCGACATTTAAATATGTTAAAGGAACAGTTTCTGAATTGGAGCCCAAATCTTTTAAATGCATGCTACCATTCTGTAGAAAACATGCTCTCCGGACTGTTGTTCAAATAAAGTTCCTGAAAATGTTTTTTTTGTGGTTGGAAAACAAAGCAGCCAAATTGAAAAAGTTCTTCTGAGCAATAAAACTAAAGTCAAGCGAGTCATCTAAGTACATGTATAAGTTAGTCAGTTTCTTCAGATCCAATATTCCTGTATTTGAAAAAAGAAATCTGGCTTGAAATTAACAGTTGACTACTAGTTGTTACTTCATTTTGAATATTTATCATTTTTTTAACTTAAATAAAATATTTCTTATGGAAGGCTTTCACTTCTATTTTCCAAAAGCATTTTGAGATTTTATTTTATACTTGTTTTTTTTTAATTTTTCAGATGAAAACAATATATGCCAAGCTGGGCCGGACTTATCCCAAAGGTCAAGTGTTTTTGCCTATTAGTGTGACTATGTTTTAATTAATGCATATATATATATACATATATAATTTTAGGGTGGGCTAAATAAACATATATATGTTTAGGGCAGGCAAAATAAATATATGTATATTTAGGGTGGGCTCAATAAATAAATATATTATTAAGGGCGGGCTAAATAAATATAAATGTAATTCTTAAATTCCTTGTCTGAAGGTAAACCATACTTACTATATTTTAAATATTGAAAAAATGAGTTAATGTTGCTTTAATAATTTTACTTCTATTTTCAACTAGATTAAGATTAGAGCATATAGCTTCTTGTGGAAGAGCATGCATACATATTTCTTCACACATTTAAAGCTGATTAAATCTTTTTTCTTTATAAAAGAAAGAAAAAAGGACAACATCAAAAAATCTAATAAAACATCAATGATAGCAAATCCTTTACCATACACGAGGGTCGTGATTGCAACATTTTTAGTATATCCAGGTCCACCTGCACATAAATATAATTCCTATGTATTAGTAAGACTGATATATATATACATTATACTGCTATGTGCTCAGGGCCTAATTATCTCCCTTCCCTAGAGCTGACTATGGTATTTACATTTCACTGCAATATGGTACTTTTAAAATAGTTCTTAATATACTATTCTCGAAAAAAAGAAACACCATCATTAAAAGAGAAACATTTTATAAAGCTTTTGCAATTCAAAGAAGCTCCTCAGAAGAGAGCATTTTCTATATCTTTTGAGCAGATTTGCTAAATGTACGTAGGTAATATCTGTTGTTATTAAGTGATTTAAGTTGGTTGAGATGCAGAATATATACCATAGTCAGGAACAAAGGTCTAGTCCAAGCCTCTTATTACAGGAACAGGGAGGTCTAGTCTAAACCCCTTATTACAGGAACAGGGCCCAGTTGTTCATCGAGCTGCTGAGTAATGAACAGCAATATTTAAAAAGAAAATCAGAAAAATCTAGATAACAACAAAACCAAAAAATTAAGTAACTGAATCTTTCTTTAGCTTATATTTGTCATTTTCCGTAAAAAAGAAACCAATACATGTTTTGTTGCAATTTGTGAATGTTAAAATTATATACTTTCAACAAACAATTGGGCCCTTGATTGTGAAATGTACAGATTAATTATGATTTCTCTAAGGCCAGATTTTGTGCACGACTATAGACACAAGTCTCCCTGTAACAGTCTTACCATCTGTGTTGTGTACTTGCTTTTAGGATTATCCAACTACAAGGAAGCAGGTTATCATTAAACCAAACTAAATATATTTACCTCCCTTGATGAATTATCTCCCTTGTTCAAATGTTACACTCAAGCCTTTCAACACTTTCTTTTCTTTACTGAACAAAGATTTATATGCAAACTTCCAAAAAGTAGATATTTTAATATACATCTGTATTCCAACGTGTGTCTGACAAAAATGTTCATCATGTATAGACCTGACACATTGCATATTAGGAAAACTTCACAAAATTCAAAAGGATTAAATGTTTTTAATCCATCAATTCTATTTTATTGCAATTATAACAAAACAAAACAAAATGCAAATTGAGATTGAATTTACAAAACAATTGAAGAACATTTCTTAGTGTTAGTAAAGAACCTTCTTTGTCCTAATGCCTAAGGGAGTTTCCTACACCAAACAAATATAATGGCTTTATATTTTTATATCTATCATCCTTTCATGCAGATATGCTTTACATGGGGATGTTAATATGAACAAACTGAATATATTTAATGACAACATTAGAACATGCAATATCTTATTCGGGAGTACGTGTTCTGTAATATATACCTCATGATATACAGAAGTACATTTCTAACAATATCGTATTCGGGAGTACGTGTTCTGTAATATATACCTTATGATATACAGAAGTACATTTCTAACAATATCTTATTTGGGAGTACGTGTTCTGTAATATATACCTCATGATATACAGAAGTACATTTCTAACAATATCGTATTCGGGAGTACGTGTTCTGTAATATATACCTCATGATATACAGAAGTACATTTCTAACAATATGAAGTAGGAAAAGAAAAGTTTTATTTGTATAGAATAATTTATAATCAAATTCACATTAAATCTATTTAAGAGCCTACTCTGATAAAATCTAAAACTAGACATTGCTTATGTAATATCAATGAACTTGCTAAGTTTGGGTCCGGGACCATTAATTGCAAACTTGTTCGAGGTATGTATTCTAAATACTTTTGCAATATCTCATATAAAGCAAAGGGAAAACAAAGTTAGTCAAGTGAAAACAAAGATTTATGTGACCTTAACCTTTGATAAAATCCCCTGAAACGTAAACTTGATTGACGTATATGTGTTCTGAATACAAGAATAAAGTTTCATTTGAATCCTAATAAAAACAAAGGAGGTTATAATTAGCAATGACAGGCTTTTTATCTAAAGTAACAGTGACTTTGACCTTGGATCTACGAGCCTGAAATGTGAACTCGCTCAAGTTAATTGTATCACAGTATCTGAACAATGAAAATATGAAGCAGTAGACAAATGACAAATATATTTTCTAAACCCGAGGATTTGTTTGTACTGAATGTTTGCTTAGCAAATTTTGTCTTATCAAAATGAAACTTATGCTGCTGTACAACAGACAAACATACATATGGACGGACGCATGACGGTAGCACAGGGACATTAACGCCATACATATGGACGGACGCATGAAGGTAGCACAGGGACATTAAAGCCAATAAATTTAGGATGGGGAAAATAATTTTGGTATGGAGGAATTAGTTTTGTGTGGATATATATATATATACTCTAGACTGAGGACCAGGTATGGTGCGGGTATTATATATTATTTAACTCTCCGTTATATGCTAGACTAAGGACTAGGCATGGCGTGGGTATTATATATTATTTAACTCTCCGTTATATGCTAGACTAAGGACTAGGTATGGTTTGGGTATTATATATTTTATAAGTCTCCTTTATACTCTTGACTAAGGACCAGGTCCCCCGTGGGTATTATATATTACATAACTCTCCTTTATTCTCTAGACTAAGGACTAGGCATGGCGTGGGTATTATATATTATAGAACTCGCCAATATACTCTAGAGTATATTGGGGAGTTATATAATATATAATACCCTCACCATACCTAGTCCTTAGTCTAGAATAGAAAGGAGAGTTATATAATATATAATCCCCACGCCATACCTGGTCCTTAGTGTAGAGTATATATATATATATGCTCTAGACTAAGGACTAGGGATGGTGTGGGTATTATATATTAAATAACTCCCCTTTATACTCTAGACTAAGGCCCAGGTATGGTGTGGCTATTATATATTATATTACTCTCCAATATACTCTAGACCAGTGGAGAGTGGTGGGCCAGGTATGGTGTGGGCATTATATATTATATAACTCCCCTTTATACTCTAGACTAGTGGAGAGTGGTGGGCCAGGTATGGTGTGGGTATTATATATTACATAACTCTCCTTTATTCTCTAGACTAAGGACCAGGGATGGTGGGGGTATTATATATTATAGAACTCGCCAATATACTCTAGACCAGTGGAGAGTGGTGGACCAGGTATGGTGTGGGTATTATATATTTTATAAGTCCCCTTTATACTCTT